ACGGCCCCAGGCCCTGAAGTGTGGCACTGCATGGACACAGCCCCAGGCCCTGAAGTGTGGCACTGCATGGACACGGCCCCAGGCCCTGAAGTGTGTCATTGCATGGACACTGCCCTAGGCCCTGAAGTGTGGCATGCATGGACACTGCCCGAGGCCCTTTAACCAGTAGAAGGGACATAAAGAGACCCCTTCAGTATTTCCAGTGAAGATCTATGATAGAGTGTGCCCCAATGTCACAGCCGCTCAGAGGAGAGGTTCTGCCCAGAACTCAGGGAGGCCACTGCTGCAACGTGATGTTGGAACTGAATGCTTTAGGGAATGAGGGATCATCAGGAGATGGGCAGGGTGCTCCGCGCCAGGAAGAGCATCAACGGAGGAACACCAGGGTCAAGCCGCTTGTGTGGATGGGGAGCTATGGACAGGTCAGTGTTTCTAAAGGGTGAGTCGGAGATGACAGACAGGCCAAGCACAGAGGGTTTGCGTCCCTGCTGGACAGCTTAAGACTCACCCTACAGGTGAGGGAGATCCACCAGAGGGCCCTAGACAGGAAGAGGCAAGGGTCAGATGTGTCTTAGGTCCAGGTAGAGAAAGGCTTTAGCAAAGTGTGAGTTAGGGTTCGGACTGCTGCAGGTAACGGTGGTCATGCCAGCAGGGCTGGTCTTCTCACGTAATGAGAAGTCTGGAGGTGGCACGCTCACGGGCTCAGACACGCATCTCCTTCTGTCTGTTTGCTCTGCCATGCTTTTGTCCTCGTGGTTGTCACCTCATGGTCACAAGATGGCTGTCTGAGCTCAAAACATCACATCCACATTTAAGGCAGCAGGAATTGGGATGATGCAGCTATCCCCTTTAATCACCAATATAAGAGCCCTCCAGAAACCGCCAGACTCCCAGCAGACTCTAGCGGTTGGGTGGCGACTATCCTGGATGGCCACCTCTGGCTGCAGGAACAGCTGAGAAGGCAATAATCTTCTTGCTTCTATAGTAGATCTGTGCGAGGGGGAAGAAGGCTGGGAATAGCGTTGGGCAGCTAACCTATAATTTCTGCCACAAATGCCAGCAGGTGAGAGATGATGAGGACCTGAAATAGGGCAATGGTAACAAAGGAGGAGTGGCTATTGTTCCATTGACGGAAACTGAAACCTCAGAAATTCTGAGTAGTGGTCTGGTTGTCCTCGATGTGGGTGGGAGGTGTCATCCCAAGGGGACGTTCAACGGGGAGCTGGATATAAATTACAAACTCGAGTGAAGGCTCAGGGCTCGGGATGTATCTGGCAGTCATTAGAACATGGGCACCCTCCAGATACACCCCAAGCGCTACTTGGGATTTTTGAGGACGGCATGGTTTTCGTCAGCCTAACATAATTTCAATTAAGCCTGAGTCTGTGGAGACGGCTCATTTTCACAACTCAATTTTTTCTACATGCGAGCACACCCAGCCTGGAATTTAACGGATAGTAAAGTTATGGGAAGAATCAATGTGCAACAAGAACCAGGTCACTTCTGCCCGGCCCACCTCCAGGACAACATGGACACACACCAGGCGGTGCTGGACCGGGCCCTTGCTCCTGAACACCACATCCCTTCACTATGCTGTGCAGCAAATGTGTTTTCATTCTCTCGATTGAAGTAACAGGAAGCGTCATCATTCTTGAAGTCTTGGTATTTATAACAGAAATAGAACCATAAAAAATACAACTGTGGAAAGTCTTGCTGAGGTCTGTTGGCAAGGCATCTGCTACCACCCCTGGCTTGGGATAAAAAATCCTGCATCTAAATAATCTTACATCTCTAAGCACGGTTCAGCTTACTGTGAAGACCCCATCCTAGAGGGCTCAAAACTCCACAGAGGATGTCCTCGCAGCCTCCAGCCTGAAAGGGGCTCTGCCGCCAGCCAGTCTGGCAGGTCACGGAAATTCTGCTCTGGAGCTGTGGATACAAGAGAAGTATTTCTTCAGCGTTTACTTTGACCAGTGAAATAACTATGACGGATTTTTTCTTTTCCCCAAGACACAAAGTGACATTTCAAAGGAGAAACCACTCTTTTGGTGCCACAGAGTCTTTTAAAAGTAATACTAGAGTAAGAGCTCAAAGGAACGTCTGCTCCAGCACAGCTGTCCAAAGCCACATATTTCAAGGAGAATGCGGCCACTCTACATAGACAGGAAGCCAGGACCACTCTTCCCTAGTGGACCTACTCCTCTATACTCAGAGAGCATCAGATTCAAAATTAGTGTTGTCATCTTGGTCAAGGGCCCTTCTGCCTGTTTGGCTGCTAAATCCACGCTGCACTGCAGTGTTGTTGCTCTTTTCATATTATGCTTTGTTTCCCAACTGGACCGTGAGCTCCATAGGTGAGGGTCACATCTTGTACTCTGTTATTTCCTGCAGACTTGTTTGTCTTGGTGAACGGATGAATGAATGAAAGAATGATGAAGACTGGAGAGCAGTGGTAGGTGAGCTGCTAGGCGGGTCAAGAGGATTCCAGAACTCAGGCCGGATTAGCAGGAAGGGTGGTGCAGGAAAGGATGTTTCATCTGACCAGCAGACATGGATCCGGGCCCCAGGTTGGCTTGCTCACCTCCACTCATCCCACAAACGTTTCTTTAGGCTTCTTCAATGAGCCAGGCAGGCACTGTGGCAGGCCCCGAATAAGACAAAGTCCCTGCCCTCCAGTGGTGGTGGCCGCAGTGAGGGGGACATTTGACGACCAGGGGTTATAGAGATGTGCGTGGTCGGAGACATGACAATGGCAGGCACAGGGCTTATGGAGCAAGGAGAAGGGGCTTCTACATCAGACTGTGGTTTCCAGGAAGGCTTCCTGAAGGAGAAGGGCTTTGACTCAAGTATTGAAGGGTGAGTGAGTGTTGGCTCGATGAGGGTGACTGGGAAAGGCATTATTGGTAGAGGGACCAGCACGTGAGGATATTCCAGACCATGGAACAGGATGCTGCATTTGAGAGCTGAAGTCTCAGCTGACAGGGTGGCTGTGGCCAGTGCTGAAGTTAGGGGTGGTACAGCGCTACCCTACAAAGGGCCTGTCGCAACGTGATTTAGTGCTTAGGAGCAGAGCTTTAGAAACCAGAGAGAACTGAGTTCAAATCCCAGCTCTGGTGCTTACCAGCCATGTCACAATAACTGTTTTTTTTTTTTTTTTTTTTTTATCCCTCTAAGTCTTAGTTTTCTGAGCCGTGTCACTTATCTATTGCTGCATAACAAATTATCCAAACCATAACAGCTTGAAACAACACACATTGATTAGAGTCTCACAGTTTCTGTGGGCCTGGAACCTTCTGCTTCAGGGTCTCACAAGGCTGCAGTCAGAGTGTTCGCCAGCGCTAAGGAGCCATCCCAAGTCATGACTGGGAGGATCCACTTCCAACCTCACTTACACGGTGTGGCAGAATCCGAAGCCTTGCTGGCTGTCATCCAGAGGCGGCCTTCTCAGTTCCTGCCATGTGGGCCTCCCCAGCTGACAGGTTGTTCCATGGAAGCCAGGGAGAGAGAGTCTGCTAGCAAGACAGATGGAGCCTAATCACTGAAGTGACTGCTTGTCACCACGGCCACGTTCTGTGGGTGAGAAGTCACTAGGCCAACCCACTCCAGGGAGTGACTCCCGGAAATGGGCATCCCAGAGGCCATCGGAGAGTCTGCCTGACCCACTAGCCTATAGCTTGTTACCACTAAATAAATGTTGGCTGTTATTACAGTCTTATGCTCAATTGAGAGATTTGGAAAAGCCACAGACAGCCAGTGAAGGATTTCCTATCAAAGAGTACCTTTAGGGGACCTTGGGCAAGTCAAGTGACCTCATGTCTTTGAGCCGTTTCCTCCTCAGGACAATGACAATACCTACCCCCACAGACATGAGGACACCTGTATGCACGCACAAATACGTTTTGTCACGCCAAATCCACAGCTCTGCAGTCTAAGGAAGCAAGCTGCTCTGGGCAGTTTTCCATTTTGTGTTGATTCTCTGAGTCTCACAGCCTGATATCTTCAAAGCTTGGCCCTGTGGGCCCAAAAGGATTTGTGTAAGTGGAATAAACACCCACAAAAAAATCTTTTGAGCATCCCTTAAGGCACTTCCAAAGGTTTGCTTTTTTCCTTCTATTTAAATACCTTTGCTGCCAAAGGCCACGTGGGGGGCCCGGTAGAGAAAACAGACGGTCTGGGAAATGTCAAGCTCTTGATAAGAACGGTAATAAAACCCGGACCGCCTCCTGACGCGGGGAGACGGGATGTTTATGGTGGACGGGGCTCCCCGCGCAGCTGCAGCCGCTGCGAGGTCTCGTGGTGTCCAGTCCATCAGACGGGCTCTGCCCGGCCCCCCGCCCCAGCCCCCTCACGTCTGTCTGTGCCCATCCCCCCGCCCCGGCCCCCCCATGTCTGTCTGTGCCCATCCCCCCGCCCCGGCCCCCCCATGTCTGTCTGTGCCCATCCCCCCGCCCCGGCCCCCCCATGTCTGTCTGTGCCCATCCCCCCGCCCCGGCCCCCCCATGTCTGTCTGTGCCCATCCCCCCGCCCCGGCCCCCCCATGTCTGCCGGTGCCCATCCCCCCCCCCGGCCCCCTCATGTCTGTCTGTGCCCATCCCCCCGCCCCGGCCCCCCCATGTCTGTCTGTGCCCATCCCCCCGCCCCGGCCCCCCCATGTCTGTCTGTGCCCATCCCCCCGCCCCGGCCCCCCCATGTCTGCCGGTGCCCACCCCCCGCCCCGGACGGAGCCCACCGTACAGGCGCCTTCCATGGTCCTCCCCCGGGAGCAGACGCGCTCTCGACCCCGACTGCGGGCGTGACCCGTGCTCCGGGGCGGCCTGAGCGGACGGAGCTTGGGAGGCAGCCCCCGCTCCGCACGAGGCGCGCTTCTCGCCCAGGACGAGGGCGCCGAGCCCCGGGCAGCGGCAGACGTCCCGCCGCACCCGTCCTCGCCGGGCTGTCCCCTCCTGGGGTCGCTCCTGCGGCGCCGCCGTCCACCTGGCGGCCGTGTGGCCCCGGGGCAGCGCCGCCGAGGGGCCGACAGCAGCGCCGGCCACCCCGCCAGGCTCCCCTGACCGGAACACGTGTCCCCGGACCCGACGGGGCGCCCCTGGGCGCTCTCGGAGCCGTGATTGGTCCCCGGCCGTGGGCTGCAGCCAGTCAGCGCCCGCGGGGCCGGAGCCCCGCCACGGCCACGCCCCTCTGGGCTCCGCCCCACACGAGCCACGCCCCTGCCCCGCCTTCC